ACATATCCTCTTGTGCTTGGTAATGTGTCTTTACTGCCATAAGTTTTTTATTTTTATTTAAACATTCACCATATCTTTCAATCATCCCTCACAAGATTCACTACACAGATCAGGAGAATTTTCTTCCCCTGAACCCCAGATAAGGAAAAACTGCTAAGATTTGAAGTTTCCCACTGGTTTGATATAAAATTGTAAATAGATACTAGGGAGAAGAAAATAACCAAGACTCAACATTTCTAGAGAAGGAAGAGTGCGCCTTGTTCTGGCCTGAGAAGTTTCCGGAAGCAAGCTGGTGCTCTCAGTGAAGTTGCCCTCTTCTGATCTCTGACTCTGACACAGAGGTAGAATGTGATTCTCAGGGAACAGCAATTTAGGCCAGGCTGAAAAACTTAGCTTTCCCTGGTCACGGTGTTAATTACAGTGATGCTCTAACTTTAGGCCAAAACAGAGTGGGAAAATTCAAACTCAATTGAGTAAGTGTTGAATCCTTTTTTCATTTACGTGATGATACATCACAGATGCACTGGCATTACTAATGGTCTGGAGTTCATTCTGAATATAATTCACTGGACCCAAATTCAAGTCACCCACATTATAATTTTTTTAATGCTTTTACTCCACAGAATGGGGGTCACCTGCCCCCTGCACACTGAGGTCCATGTAAAGGTCTCCATTCTACTGCTGTCTGAGAGGGTCTCTGTGTGTCCTCCTGTCTATCCTCGGCTTTTAGGGAAAAGCTGGATGGGTCTTTATGTATACCTGTGTTAGAATAAATACCTGGGCTGGCCTCAAACTTGAGGAGTTGCCTCAGCCTCCCGAGTAGATGGTATTATAGGCATGTACCACCATAGAATACTGCATTTAAAGAGTGATTTATTTGCTTTACCAGACTAAATAATTTATTGTCTCTCCACAGCACAGCCCGTGCCTGTCATGTGACTGGTGCTCAGTGAACATCAGCTGACATAAGGATCTCCTTCTTCACGTTGCATAATGCCCCTCCCTGCCTGCCCCACCCTCCTGGTTTCAGAATAACAGGAAGTGAAATTCTGTAAACTCTGACCATAGGGCCCTGCATTATCGGTGAGCATTACTAACTGCCCATCCAGCAACCTCTCCTGTCCCCTCCAGCTCCTCTGTCCTCCTCCTCCAGTATGCCAGCTGCACCTGGCCCTGAGCACCTCTGCTCCTGCCTCTCCCTGCAATGCTGCTCCCCTGAGTCCCAGAAGACTCCTTCCTCCCTCCTCTCCCTACAGTAGAGTTGCCCCTCTCCACCTGAACTCTTCATAGGCACTTCCCTCCTGTTTAGTTACTCATCTCTGGGATGCAGCACCCAATACTCACCAACTGCAAGGAGGAGAGGTTTATTCTGGCTCACTGTTTGTAGAGGTTTCAGTCCATAGTCAGCTGGGTAGCATGGGAGAGGAGCACAGCAGAGAAACAGCTCATGGATGGTGGTGGGAAGCAAAAAGAGATCAAGGGAGGAGGAGGGAGACAGACCCTTCCAGGCCACGCCCCAGTGACCTCCTCCTTCAACCAGCCTCCACTTTCCAACATCACCTTCACTACAAACTCCTCAGTGGACTCACTCATGATCCAGTCACCTCCCCAAAACCCCACCTATGAGCACGAGTCTTTGGAGAAACAGCTAGACGACACTATAATACCTTGCTGCTTCTTTTCTCCATGGTACTTTTTGTTATCTTATATTCTTTATACTTGTCTGTCCATAGTGTTTAATATCTCTCAGCTATAACACAAGCTCCTCATATGAGCCTTGGGAGTTTTTTCTGTTTCATTTACTACCCAGCACTCAAAACTGAGCTTGCCCAATATAAAACTGATGAATGAATGGGTGAATGAATGAATTTATAGCGGGCTGGCTTCCAATCCATAAACTAGTAGTTTTGAAGATATTTCTTAATGGTGATTTTTATTATAAGTGGATGCAGAAGGGATGGAAGACTGCATGAAAGATTTATTACTGTGTGATATTTCCCCCCCAAGATCCTGATCTCACACTTGGCCTGTTAAAATGTCTGGATTCTACATAGACATTATAGATAAAATAGATGGAGATAGGCACTTTTCCATTTTGTAGATATAAATATCCTGATTATCTTGAGAGGAATGAATAAAGTCATCACTACGTAGCAGTGATTGCTGGCAGCTCCTAACTCTGGTTGTCATCTCATTGGCAATTTCCCAGATAGACTATAATGATTTGCTAGTAATTCAAACCGAACTAATATCAACCTGTGAGTTTCCTGATATGTTCAAAGAAGTGAGTTTCTGCAGCATGTATTGCACCTATGGGCAATTTTTTACTCAAAAGCTGAATGTTTTGACTGTAATGATGCTTATTTGAATATAATATGGTAAAAAGTAGTTAGGAATACCATGTTGTACAACTTAAGGGGAAAGCATCTCCTCATAACCCCTCATTGTGTTAACATCCATACCATAAGAACATTCTGACTTAAGTCTACTTCAGATATTTTCTGTTATAATTTTGACATCATTGATAAAGAACAGAAAATAACTCAATCATGCTACTGAGATTTTGGTAGCCAAGACAGGCTTTCCACAGGTAAGGACAGAATGTCCGGAGCTGGGCTCTGCTTTTTCTCCCCAATCCTGGCTGCTTGATCTTTCTTTTGAACCCTTGCTCCATCAGAACTTCTGCCGCCTCTCTGTTCATCAGCCAATAGGTTAATGGTAGGTATGGAGTAGGCAAGAATCTCTACTATTAGAGGATTGTGGCTACATTAGAAAACTTGGAGCCTTACTAATGGCAGTAACTAATTAATCCTGGGCAAGCTAATAAGCCTCATAAGATTCAATTTCCTTATCAATAAAATTGAAACTTAAAAGAATATTTAATTCACAGGGCTGTTGAAGTGCTTCATAAAACCAAACATGCCATACTGATGGTAATTATTGATACAAATAATAGCACATAGTGCTATTACACATATCATAGTGGTTGAAAATACTGGCTTTATGGTTCACCATAGCAGGGTTGAAACACTAATTTAGGTACAAGCAACTGTGGAGCCTTGAACAGCTGTATCACTTCTTTGAGCCTCAGTTCAGTTATATAGAAGACGGAGATAATTTCATGGAGTTTTTTAAGGACTACCTGAAGTTCAATGATTAAAGAATCACATAAAATCAAATAACTCAATGAAAGTAAATGAAGTCATTGTGATATAGCAAGCACTCAGCAAGTACTTGGTATTATTAAATATGTTAACACACCTATTTTCAGGTTCAACCTGGTGAATCTTTTTCTTTGGCTCTTTTCCCTAGATTGAATCATCTGAGGTCTTTCATCTGTACTAAATGATACTACTTATATCTTCAGCTTCTCTAAGATTTTTTGATACTCTCAGAACTTTCAGAGAATATTTATAGAAAGTAGTCTCTAAAATAATTCAGTTTAAAGGTCAAGCAGATGATATGTATTTAATGCTTCACTAAAAAGTCCAAAAGTCTTTGCATTTTACCAAAAGTTGTGCTGACCTTGTCTTTACAAATCTATCTCTGCCTCTGGAAAGCCCATCTGTTAGCATCTTCCTAAACTAATAATAGTAGCTAGAAATTATTTAGTGCTTACTGTGTGCCAGATCATGCACTAAGCATTTTACTGATAATAATAATTTCAGTGCTCCCAAGAACCCTCTGCAGTGAGTATACACTTACTAATCCCATTGTCCATCAGGAGAAACTGAGGAACAGCAGCCCCATAACTAGCCCAGTGTTATACCACTAATGTGCAGCTATGGAAAGAGATGAGCCCAGGCAGTCCAATTCCTAACATGAGCAGTTGTAAAACATGCATTCAGCTTGGCTGTCTTTGTGGACCTCGGGCACCAGAAAACTGTTAGACCTAGATATAACCTCAGAGTCCTAGCTGGATCCAGTCCTTTTTACACAGCTAGTCATTAAAATCTATCCAACTGGGCTCTCAGCTGCATGATAATCAGCCCTAATCCTCACTATTAAGATCAACAAGAAGGAATGACTGGGTCATTCCATTCAGCCACTGTCCTTTCTGCTTACACTGGATAGGGATCATACAATTTTACAAAGGAACAAAATAAACTGTATGTGCAAAAAAAATGTATAAAAGGCAGGAAATACTATTCTTTGGCCTTGCTTATCTACAAATCTACACACAGGGGACAGGTGTGGGTCCTTGGAAAAAGATTTCTAATAAAACAGTAAAAGATGCTGTGCCCAATTTCAGGATTACACAGAAGATTCTCGTCTCAATCTGGGGTGATGAAACTAAAACAGTCATATTCGTTACTGTACACAAACCGAATTCAAGCCAGACCTCCCACAAGTCAATTTTAATCCCAAACACTTCATGGGGCATTTATAGACTTAGCTTTGTTTCACCATAGCTAGAAGCTGTTTGCGTAGTTATGACTAAATTCAGCAGAATCAAAATACAGTTCTATCTCTATGACTCCAAGAAACAAGGGTAGCCCTTCAACATTAATCTCTTCAGAGACATGCTGTGAAAATAAGGCCGCCATGGACCTTGTGAATGTCTGCACCTCTCTCTGGATCTGCCCTGATGACTGAATCCTAACTTCTACTACAAAACAGAGAGAGAGAGAGAGAGAGAGAGAGAGAGAGAGAGAGAGAGAGAGAGAGAGAGAGCAAACTGAAAAAATATGCAGTGAACTAAAAAGCAAATAGCCCCAGTAACATTTCTTTTGTACCTGTCAACCATATTCCTGTGAATTTATCCTAATTTTATATGGTCCTATGGCATAAAAGCAGAGCAGGTTTTTATAGCACAATCTCTATTTTTCTTGTAGCTTGATTGGTTTTAGTTTACATAGGAGAGACTGTCTCTTGGGTAAATATTATATGATTTTAAAAATAACAGAAGCATTATGTGAAACAAAGGTTTGATTGGAAAGCAAATGTAAACTTGAGGTTTAATTACATTTTATGTCATAATGTAACTTCTTAGCCAGCGATTTAAAACACTCCACAGTTGAATCCCAACTTGTCTTTCCAGTTTCGTCTTCTTGGGTTTTTCCTATTACTGGTGTGGGTGAAGCTGAATGAGCCATGGGCTCACTCAGATCATTCATTCACAAACAGTTCCTGGGAAAACATTAGGTACAGTTACAGGAATAGGTACTGAGAATACAAAACTGAAAAATACTAACCATAATAATAAGTAAATGTTGCTCCATTCCTGAGGCGCTCACAGCCTAATAAAAGCATACATGAAGGTAATTATAATACAGGAAATATGAATGACAGGACCATGCAAAATATACAGTGAGATGCTTCCTCCTGACCTTCTCCAAGGCACCTGCTGCAGTTTGGATCTTAAAGAGCCCATGTGTTAATGGCATGGTGACAGCCTGGGGTGCTCCTGGGAGTTTGTGGACCCTTTAAGAGGTGGGGCCTCATGGGAGGAGGTTAGGTCATTGGGGTCATACCCTTGAAGGAGACACTAGAACCCTAGCCCCTTTGCTTCCTGGCTGCCATGAGGTGAGCCACTTCCTCTGCCAAATACTCTCACCATGATGTGCTGCCTCACTACCACCTAGAAGTAACATGGACCAAAACCTCTAAAACTGTGAGATAAAATAAGCCATTCCTCTTTTTAAGTTGATTGTCTCAGGTATTTTGTTACAATGATGGAAAGCCAACAAACACAGCCCTTCACATGCAAACTCTCTCCAAACTGGGTTTCTTCCAGTGTACCTTTAGCCCTGTGACCAGCTTTGCTTCCATCCAGGAGTGCAAGAACCACAGCCAGGCCCCACTGCTCCTGCCACCTCCTCTGTCTCACTGCTGCCCCGCCCCCACACACACTTTCATGGGGCCCAGCTTTTATTCAATCCCTTATGTGTCCTAAATTTCCTCTTAACACAAGGGTTTTGCACACACTCTTCACACTGCTGGCAACTCATTTTTCTCCCAGTGGTTAAGTCACCTTTACCCTTCAGCTCAGGCACACGTCCTTGGTGAAAGTCCTCCCTGTAACCCCTTAGGAGTTCAAATCCTCCTGTGTTGGGCTAATCATTGTGCCCTTTTCATCATGGTGCTTATCACAGTTGCAATTTCACATTTACTGTGGGAATATCCAATTCATATTCACCTACACCATGAGACTGTAAGCTCCTTAAGGCCAGGGACCACATCTATTTCTGTCATTATTACATCCAGTGCTTATCATCACACTTAAGGGACAGGTATCAATGCACCAGAGTCTGTGGAATAAACAGCACATAATAAGGAAAGAGCAATGAGCTTTTCCTGGGGGAAAGTTGAATTAATCTCACAGGAAGGGGTCAGCAGTTTTGGATTTTGAAGGATATGTAATCATTTATCAGACACAAAAATATACGAGCAGAGACAGGGAAAACTATCTGCCATTCATTGCTCAGTAGGACTGGAGCTGTGGGTGTGATCTATTTTGGGGAGGGGAATAGTAAAGTTTCAGAAACGAGGCTGGAGAGATTTAGGGACTAAACCACAGAGGGCCTTTTGTGCTCTGCAAAGCAATTTGGATGTTTGCCATGGGAAATCACTGAAGTGTTATAAAAAGGAAGTAAAATGATGATCAGATTTGCATTTTAGAAAAATCACTCCCTGGTATCAAGGATGTCCTTGATAGGCTGAGAGTGGGGACAGGGTGACCAGTTATGAGGCCATCCTAGTGGTTAGGAGGTGCAAACCAAGGTAGGATTGGGGATTAAGTGAAATGAGAGGTTTCAAAGGAGATGAAAATATGAATAAGGTAAAATAAAAAGTCAAGGCATTTCACTCTGTTCTCTGCAGCAGCCAGAGTATACAGCCATTAACCAAGTTAGAGAGTATAAGATAAAAAATCAGTTTAGTAGATGGCAGACTATGGTTTTGAACCCACTGAGGTTTGATATCTAAGCATGAGTTTCTTATGCAAAAATGAGGGCTGTATGCTAAAATCCTTTTCCCTCCACCTTCATCAAGTCTTACCAGATGAGCCCAGAACCACACAGGAGTAACCACACTGTTCAGCCTCCCTTGCAGCTAGGTGTGTCCCTATGAGTAAGCTCTTGACAGTAAAATAAGTGAAGAGTACAACTTCTATGTTATCTGCTCAAAAGGAAATTTCTTGTCCTGGATTTTATAGACAACTTGGAGTTGAGTCAACATAGCTGTACAATGAAAATGTACACCTCAGGGAACAACAGGAAAACAATATGGGAAAAACCAAATGGCCAATTAAGCTGACAGGCCAGGTCAGTCTCTCCCCTCATTGGACCACTTGTTTTGTGAGAAAGAAATAAAGTACTTATTCAATCCACTGACTATTGGAGTCTCACTTTTAAAGAATCTTATCTTGTACCCTAATATAGACCTTCAAGTAGAGATTTCCCCATAGATAATTTCCTACACTTGTCTAGGCCTTCACAGAGAGGTGAGGTACAGACTAACAATGAAGAATTGTTACCCATTACCATGTTGGTGGTAGGTAAAAAGAAAAACTCTGAAGACAAATCCTAGATTTGCAGCTTGGCTATACTTTTTATTAGTTATATGATTAAGTTATAACTATAAGCTTGTGTTATATAGGTCTGTAAAAACACATGTATTGATACCTGTAACTCTAGTTACTATAAAGACAAATCTCCACATCTCAGTAGCTTAACACAAAGAATATTAATTTTTTCATTCACGTAAAGCCCATATGCAGATTCAGCAAGACCTAGCCTCCTCTACCTGATGGCTCTTCCCTCCTCAGATTTTTCATTCATAGCCATTCCCTTCAATAGTCCATGGTAGGAAAGGCACACATGATTCTTACTTCATTAGCTAGAAATAACATACTCCTTCTATGACTGAGAACAATCACTGGATGACAATTTAGTGCAAAGAAACCTGGGAAATGTTGTCCCTCTCAGAAGCCACTTCCAGCAGAAAAGCTACACAGTGGACAAGGCCCACAACAGTCAGTAAGAATCCACCCTGCCTGTGTGAGGATGGACATGAAGACAGGTGGACAATATGCCTAGCACTGTATAGTCCCCAAAGGACTTTCAATAATGTTAGCGCACACCTTCTTCCCTGTCAGTGCTTCTTCTTCCTCCATCCTATATCCATGTTGATGTCCCCAGTAGATCTTGATTTTCCCACCTGTGTGTCTTTATTCACATTCTTGCCTTTATTATACAACACTCTAAACACATGGCTGCCTTTTCTTTTTTATCAGCTCCACCTTTACCTATTTCTGAACACCAATCTCAGAGTGACCTCCTGGAGAAAGCTTTCTCTTCTTCCATTGTGGCTGCTGTAAGCCACCACACAGTGCTCATAACCTTTCACGAAGCACTTGTCAGATGTCCATCCGGTATCACTACAAGGTCTCCTCCTCCTTCCTGGCTGAGCCCAAGGGGTCAGCTGAACTATGTTTAACTCTTTTTTGTTCAAAGTAACTAAAGGAACAAACTGTACTTAGACTTTGAACTTAGAGACCAACACCTGGAGATTTGAGGTCTCTCACAAAGAACCAAGAGTTAAACCTTTTTTTAAGGCAACTCTGGAAGGGGAAAATAAGAGGCTTGTGTTGAATATTTAAATATCCAGGCAATAACTTTCTGAATTATTGGGATATTACTATATTGCTGCATTCCACTCTGTATAATCCATGAGAAAGCACATATGTTAAGACCTGATTAGAAATAAAGTGTGTACTTCAGAAATAAAGCTAAATTTTGTTTAAATACATATGATTCTTAAAAACAAACAATTTTGAGGAGGCTTCTTTAAGAATTCTCCATGTGCATGAGTCAAGGTGGTGATGTGGCATCTTCTGGTAACTTGACAAATGTCAACAAACTGTTTAGATCTATCCATCAGGTACATGCACCACTCTTGAGATATTAGGGCAGTGGCCAAGTCACTTCATTCTTTTTAGGTACAGCCATTGCATGCAGAAAAAAAGAAAAAAGCTCAGTGGTGTTGCTGCCTGCCTCACAAGTGCTAGGTCCAAAGTTCGATCCCAGGTACCAAAAAAAAAAGTCCGAATTGAGGATGGTGGTGTAGCTTGGTGATACAGGACTTGCCCAGTATGTGTGAGATGCTAGGTTCCATCCCCAGCTCTGCAAAAAACCCTTAATTAATAAATTCAAACTTGTGAGATAACCACTAAGCACACAGGGGTATGTATTATGTGTGATCAGAAACGTCTCCTTTCCCCTCAAAGTATCTTCCTTAGTGCTGAATTAACTTATCCAAATATTTCAATGTGTTTTGTATCTACACAGACTTCAGTGCTTACACTCTCCTGTGCTTCTACATATCTTTTAAACTGGGCATGGTAGTGCATGTTTTTTGATTCAGCACCCTGGGAGGCTGATACAGGAGGATTACAAGTTCAAGCCCAGCCTGGGCAATTTAATGAGACCCGGTATCAAAAGCAGAGGGCTAGACATATAGCTCAGTGTGAAGGCACTGGGTTTAATCCCCAGTACCACAAAAAAAGAAAAAGTAGAAGGGGAAGAAGAAAAATGAGGAGGAGAAAGAAGAGGAGGAGGAAGAGGAGGAGGAAGAGGAAGAGGAGGAGGAGGAGAAGGAGGAGGAGAGGGAGGAGGAGGAGGAAAAGGAGAGGCTAAAACCTTTTGAATATGGAGGATGCAGCATTTCCAGAGTATTGAACAGGACTTCCTGTTTTATGGAAATAAAAGGCCACCCCGACACAAGCATTCAGGAAGAACACAATCTTAGAAATGCTGAAGAGACAGTGGGTAGAAAGCCCTGGACTTGGCCTCAGAGGCCTGGGTTTGGCCTCAGGTCCGGGTGGCAGGCTCTGTGTGGTCCCAGCAATCATCTGAAAGCCTCGAGTTCCTGTCCTGGGATGTGTAAGACCTTTCTTAGCCTGCCTGGCTCCCTATCCATCTACCTCGCAGCACCATATACGAAGGTATCTACAAAATTCTGCCTTGAGACCTGGTAGGTAACAAACACATGCTGTTCAATAAATCTGTAAATCTGCAGTTAGCTGAGCATTCTCTAGCATTCAACAAACCGTATCACAGCACAAAAAGGGTTTCCGGTGGCTACTTACACACAGGTAAAACAGAGATGGACCGACAGTGCTGTACAAA